TTATATATAGTTATATATGATTATATATAATTATATATGATTATATTTGGCCATTTTTCATATATAATCATATATAACCAATTTATATATAAATATATATAATTATATATAAATATTTTTTCTCGGGTATATAATTATATGGAGTTATATATGAATCATCGATAATTATATATGATTCATACATAATTATATATAATTGCACATAATCTTTTTTACCCGCCCTGATTAAAGAACCGAATTAACAACAATGGAAACAGAATTAAACAGAATTGGTTTTCCAATTCTGTTTAATTCTGTTTCCATTGTTGTTAATTCGGTTCTTTAATCAGGGCGGGTAGGAAAAAATTTTCTAACCATACGTCATCTGTTAGAATTAATTGATACTAAACATATTTTAGTCCACGAATTTACAGTTAGAATCTTTGAGTATTCTTAGTTTCTAATAGGTGTCATCCTAACCTCACTTTTTTCTGGTATGCCTTTTTCCACCCACTTCTTATTACAGTATTATCTCTCTGTTCTTTTTTGTATAAATAATTAAAATCTTTCCTTAGCCACAGTTTTTGTAATTTTTCTCTTGTAAATAACCAACTTTTATTGCAAATTAATTGAGAAAATTCTACGAGCGAAATTTTTGTGTTCCTCTCTATTCGCCACCTAGCAAACTCTTAATAAATTTATTATTTTATTGCTAGGTACCTTGACTTGATTGATAGCACTCGTGGAACACATTCACTAGTATTGCGTGATTGCACAGAACTCGTAGTGTACATCAGAATCAATACAAACGTACGTATATATCTCAGTAAAAATCTTTCTAAGCTGCTTATTAAATTCTTCTATTAAAACAAAAAAAAAACATTTTTATTGATCCGCAGAAAAGTAAGTGTAAACGTACTATGGGTAGAGCAGACAGGAATCGTCATAGGAAAAATGTACCAACTAAGCAACCAATAGAAGATTTATTAGTTATTGAACAATTGGAATCTTGGATGGAATCTGTCGGTTGGACATCATCATGTCATTTGAAACCTACCATTTTTCCTGTTACGCAGCGAGGCTTAAAGGCAGTAAATAATATAATGCCTAATACTTCTCTTGTAAAAATTCCTAAGAAACTTCTCATCACTCCATTAGTTGCTCTAAATAGTAAGATAAATTTTATTTTTCTGAAAAATCATAGCTATACCGTCCATTCCATTCTAGCAACTTTTATATTATACGAAAAGCATTTAGGAAATACTTCAACATGGAAGAATTATTTAAATACCTTGCCAAATTCATACACAACTCCAATTTTCTGTGCGAAAGTAGAAAAAAAAATTATGCCATTAATCGTACGCCAAAAGTTAAGCATTTTATCACAAAAAATAATAACTGATTACGAAATTATCTTAAAATCTATCCGTGAATCAAAAACGGATGGCTATGATTTATGTCCTCATTGTAAATTACCTTTAATTGAAATATTTTCTTTTGAAGCTTACAAATGGAGTTATTATACTGTTAATACCAGAGCGATATACATGAAAAATAATAAGTTTAATGACGATTCTAAGATTTCCGTAAATGAAAATTTAGCTCTAGCTCCTTTTTTAGATTTGTTAAATCATTCATTTAATGCTTTAGTTGAGATAAAACCAATAGATAATATAAACAATGAATTTTATCAAATTTTTACTTTGACCACCATTCAAGAAAATTCACAAGTATTTATCAATTATGGTAGTCATTGTACTCTCAAATTATATATGGAGTACGGTTTTTTTATTTCAAATAATCCATTAGATGAAATACTTATAAATTACTCATCTGTTAATAATTTGAAAAATATTTCACCGTTAACGAATAATTACATTTTATGGAATAAATTTTATGAAAGTATAGGTTTTACATCGTCAGGATTAAATTATCGTGCAAAGATAGCATTTTTCATCCTCAGCACACCCTTAAAAATTATTCAAATGACTAAAAAAATTTATTGCAATAGCTTAAATCGTCTAGATGCATTATCTTATAACGTGCTTTCACTTAAACTCCTCAATACAAAACGATTAGAATTAATTAATGAATTGAAAATAATGAAATCTCGAACGAACAAAACTAATTCTTTTAAGATTATTGTTAATGTTCAACAAGAGTACATTTCTATATTGGATAAATGTTTTTATTCGATTATTCATAATTAACCCTTCAGTACCCAGGTTATAAGAATTTTATTCACGCTAGGTTTCAATCTTAATTACTTTTTACACGCTTTTTTATTATATTATTAGCTTCACTTGTATGTCAGTATGTCAGTATGTCATTCAGTATGTAACTCTCCGTGGGTAATTTGCGCGCCTGCGGCCTTCCTTGGTTCTGGTAGCCGTTTCTCAGGCTCCCTCTCCGAAATCGAACTCTGATTCTCCGTATTTATAATTTTTTATAAATAATTATTTTATTCTTACTAATCAATAAATTACTTACTGAAAATTTAATTTAATAAAAATAATAATTTAATAATTTAATTAATAATTTAATAATTTAATAAAAATAATAATTTAATAATTTAATTAATAATTTAATAATTTAATAAAAATAATAATTTAATTAATTAATCATTTAATAATTTAATAAAAATAATAATTAAAAAGTTATTAAATACTTTTATCATAAGATTTAACTTATAAAAAATAAGTTAGTAATTTTCTGAAAAAATTTATTTTAATTTTTACACACTTTTTATTAGCTTCACTTGTATGTATGTTTGTATGTATGTATATTTGTATGTTTGTATGTTTGAAACCGACTTTTTTGGGCGCGATTTTGACCAACTTTAAACGGCCAGATTTCCTTCAAACTTTGTGGATTTATCGAGGACCGATGACAATACACTAATTTGATAAAATTATTCCATTTTTCAATTTGCAAAATATGATTTTTGTTCATTTATATAATTTTCATCTATAGTCGATAAGGTAGAAACTTAATTCCAATTTTTATAATTTTTCTCTACAGTCGATAAGGTAGAAACTTGAGTTCAATTTTATAATTTTTCTCTACAGTCGATAAGACAGGACTTGATGTTAA